TTTATGTCAGAGCCCGATAACAGATAGTTGATCTCCTTAAAAAATAGTTGTTATTTTAATATTGTGAAGATACGAGTAGTGTTTTGTAGTAACGTACATACTTAGCTAGATGTTATCCTGTTATGTCCAGTTTGTGTCAAGAGTCAACTTTTAACATTTCGGGCACATCAACAAAGGTCTACAAGCTCTACAAGAATTGTTATTTTACATCCTGGCAGTTGTTGAATGGACCCTTCTGCCAAGCCTTTGGGGAATTATGCTCAAATAAATATTGGAATATTATATATTTTCTCTGAGCTCTGAAACATAAGACATAGCTCGTAATATAATGGCTTTATTTATAGATGGTGTATTTCATTGAGAAGTACTCTTCATATCCAATTTTTGATGGCGTTAGATTAGCGAGGAGAAGGCCAATAGTTATATGCAAAAATATTTTTTTGTATTTGGGGCTAAGGCGGAAATGGTTCTGAAATCAACTTCAGAGCGGGCTCTGTAAGATTATTTAATGTGTGTGTCCTTGATTAATGTGACTTGTTGTCTGACTCTTCTCGTATATGTATGTATGTAGGACTATGTGTGTACTTTTGGTATTTATGGCTGCTGGGGTTGTTGTTGTATTCTGGGAAAGCAACGCCCATGCCCATGTCCATGCCCATGCCCGCCCAGATTCTTGTTTCTTGCTTGTCATCAGGTGCATTTAATTGCGCGATTTTCGCGCCCACTTCTGCGCGGCCTAATTGGCCATACACATGGCCATAAATTAATAAATTTTAAGTTGAATTGTCTAAGTCTGAGGCCTGAAGGCAGAAGGCAGAATGCAGGCAGAGGTGGAGCCAGCGTGGCTCATTAATGTACGTGGGCTCATTATAATAATTAAGGCTAATTTATGGTGTCATTAATTTAAAATGTGCATGCATGTTGTCCAATCGAGCCCCAAACCCTTGCCGTTCAACCCTCCTCGCATCTGCCGGAAGTGGTTAATGTCTGAGAGCGAGTGTGTATGTGTGTGTGTGTTAAATGGTCATGATTAGTCGCTTTGCATTTGATTCGAGCTGCCACAAAATGTCTGCCAAGAGACCCAAAACAGTTATGCGAAATGGGCCACAAATGTAAACACTACACACACTCGCAATTAGACATAAACAAGTCATTATTAACTTAATTTCCGGTTTACTTAACGCGCTGACGCAAAGTTTTATGTTAATTTAGGCAAACCCAAGTGCCATGGAAGAGGGGGATGGGAAGAAAGCAGGGCAGGACTTCTGCTGCTGCACATCATAAAATTTATCAAAATATGAAAATCACAGCCACACACACACCGACACACACACCGACACACACACGCCGACACTTCCAGGGCTCAAGTTCAAGCCGACCACTTAATTACCCCAGAGTGTGTGTGTGTGTGTGCGAATCGCTATACAATTTCAGTTGCCACTTCAAGTGTCCGCACGTACACTGAGAGAATTGTGGAAATTTTAAATCAGCAAGAACTACTTAGCATACCTAATAGCTTTTCCTGATAAATAAAAAACCATCATAACAAGATAAAACCAATTTGAAACAAATTTTAATTTATTGTCACATATTTTCGGACTCTTTTACTTGTTTTTGCTTACTTGTTTTTGCTTCATGATGCTTACTCATTTATTTATTTATCTTAATTTATTGGTAATTACTTTATAGTGCAACAAGTAGAGCTGCTAATATGTAAAAGCACTAGTCATAGTTTCAACTCAAAAGTTAAACCGAGCTTTACATATACTCGCATTAATTAAAATTCATTTATGAAGGCATTTATGAATTTTCTTGAATAGAAAGGCAGTCTTCTGCTTGAGGTTTATTCGAATTACAATTAAAAATTTGATTCCGATCTCTTAGAACTAGACAAAGCCATATAAAAGAAAAATTTGAATGAATTTAAATTGAAATCTTTATTTGTCGTTTCTCCTATAATTACTTATTATTTAGGAATAAAGCAGGCGCCATTATTTATTTTGTGGATGCAGTCTTAGGGATAGAAGTCCCAAGTCCGTAATTAAAAAATGCAAGACCACTATTTCTTTCAAAACTACGAGCTTATTTTGATTCTGACATTAATAAACTCAAGCTGTTTGTGATATTACCAATGCAATTTAGTAGCTTTTAAAGTTAGAAATAAACGATCCTTAAAATCAAATTATAGACAGCTTATAGGATGTCTGATTTTAAAATCAACAAAGCCCTTGTTCCTTTTGAAAATAGGAGAAAATGGGGGCTTATTTATTCTTGGACAACCCTTAAATAAATATAAAATGTGTATGGGTTTAATTTTTTGATACATTGGCCGCTATATTATTTGATCACAACCTTAAAATCAATTCATAGACAGATAAAGGAGAGTTGATTAGATGCTTTTAAAAATCACCAAAGCCCAACTGGATTGTGAAAATGTTTGTATTTGTTCCTCTTGAAAATAGAATGAAATGGAAATTCTTGGAAACGACACAACTTTAATATGTATTGGTTTAATTTTTGGATTTATTGACTGCTACCTATTCTTCAACTGTTGTCTGATCAGAGTTATGATTTACTTGTTAATATACTATACCTAATAATACAAATTATGTTAAGTTCATTAAAACACCATTTCATACATTTTTTGAATGAACTAAATTTTTATGGAAGGACTACTATTATTTTGAGCACAGCTGTATATTATTTTATCAGAGCAAAATCACCGGTTTAAATAAATAAAATACGATACTAGATAAACTTAGTTCATTGCGCAATCATTACCATGTCGGCTGTTAGTGGTTCTGGATAGTCCAGTTGTTCTATTCAAGCATTGCATTATTTACTTTGACTTTTTAACTTACGATGGTATTATTGGGAAAAACCAAAACCCTCACCTTTTTATTTGAAGCCGAATCTGTGTAAGTTTTATTTTGTTGTGTGCATGTCTGCATGAATGTGCGAGTGTGCTTATCTGCTGTCTGTCTGTCTGTCTGCCTGTGCAACACACGGCGTATACGTTTTCACGCTTTTCACACTTTGCCGACTGCCCGAGCGAAATTTAATTACCAGACCCGGGCACTTTGCGTGCAAATTACGCATGTAGCAGCCACTTGATTGGCGCTTTCAAGGGTCAGATTGAGCACACACACACACAGAGAGAGACCCACACACACCCACACACCCACACACACACGCAGGCACTTGAAATGTGCACGGCACATTTAAACTTTTTGTTTTAAGCGTTTTTGTTACGAGTATTCTCGCTTTTTTCTCTGTTGTTCAACTGTCAGACGCCATGTGCCAAATGTTTTACTTGAATAACTGGCGTTGGTTGGGGCGGCGGCGTGGGATGGTGGAAAGGGTGTGGCGATAAGAAGAGAGCGCGTACACACAGACATGCATAATCGCGTCAAGCCACACTCAATGGCGGTCACATTAACAAAACTCATTACGAGCCCGAATGCGAACTTAAGGAGGGGGGAGCGAGGAAGAGTGCCTGGGCAGAGTGCCACTGTTTTTACACCTTTTTTGGGGCGCCTTTGTCAACATTTTAATGACAGCAATTCAAAAGCGCCAGCATGCTGATTGCTCTCGTGATACCCGCAACAACAATAGCAACAACAACAACAACGACAAGAAGAACGCGCTCGCCATGAGACAGGCGAGTCGAGGCTCTCGTCTCCTGGTTGTGTTGTGCTCGAAGCTGGTGCCAAGATATACATAAATATTTTCCCTTTTTATTAATGCATATTCATGTCGGCAACGACCACAACAACAACAACAACAACAACGGCACAAACAACAATTGTGCGCGCTTATCATTTTTATGTTGCAACTTCTTTCTTTGCGGCAGCATACGAATACAAATATAACTGTTGTCAAGCCACAACGCTCGCCGCCGAGGCAGCAGTGAAGCCATTTTCTTGTATATTTATCTATGTGTGTGTGTACATACTTGTACCTATGTATGTATGTGTGTACCTTCGCCGCATAGTTAAAGCAATGCTTATGCACAGGGTCAGGGAAAGAGCTGCATTCTTTTACTTGCTGGATCGGATCGTCATATCCTATAGCTGCCATGGGCATGATTGCGTTTATTTCTTCCTGCTATCTCATCTGTAATATACATAAGAAATGTACAGTTACCTTCTTTAATCAACCGCATATATAAAGTACTTATATTTGCAAAGTTTCATAATCATTGACGCAAAATTACAAAAGAATGCGTATTTTTTAATTTATTTCATTCCCTCACAAACTAATCATTTGGTTTTGAACCGTAATTATTTTTCTGAAAATGAAAATATTATTTTAGGGATGCTGTTTTTAGGCCAAAACTGGACCATAGTGGTACATCTTGGTTCATTGTTTAAGGATATATACGAGTATAAATGTTATCCTTATTCCCTACAACCTGAGCTTTGTTTCTGATCAAAAAATAAAACATAAAGAAAAATCAATATTTTATGAGTTTTGTGTTTTTGCTCCAAAATAAGGATTATTGGTTGTTATTTTCTTAAAGTTACTATAATTGAATGACTTGTTCGCTTTAAAAAACAAAGTAATCAATTTTTGCGGTCCCTGCTCAAATCTAATGTTAATACACATCAAAGAATAAAACATTTATATATTCGATATAAGGGAGGCACTGCCCTCGACTTAGGATTCAAAGTTTGGCGACTCAGTCTTCTATACTTTTGGAAATCATTAATTGAACGATAATTTGAACGTCTGTCCATTTAGACAGACGGATGCACATGTCTATGCGGAGTCGCTTTGTTATGCTGATCAGGCATATACACCTTATTCTGCTTTTACACGATTTGGATATAACACGGTTTGAAAATTAAAAATTGCTTATATATTTCTTTAGAGATAAGGAACCAATCACCCATTTTTGCATATGATCAATGTCTTGTAAAATCCAGCTTGTAAAAACAGAATTAGCTGCAATACATAGTATGTACCTTGTGGACTCTGAGACTTACAAAAAAGACCGATTCTATAATAAATTTTTTATTTTTCGGCTTTAGGACATGCAGAGAACATTTAGTTTTAATTTGCATATAATTTAAAGCTTTAAGTTATAAGTTCACCTAAGTAAAATATATACGCTTTATTTGGATTGGAAGCAACTAAAACGGACTCTTAAGCTGGACGCGGTCTGCGTGTTTGTTTCAGCATTTGCCCCAAAACGTGCCTCATGCTGGCCCAGACGGTCCTCATTCGATGCATCAAGCGTTCTACGTGTTCGTTGCAATCGACCATGCTCACAATAGAGGCAAGCGCAGCAGCCATAAGTAAAGGATCAATATCATTATCCATAGTCAGATGATCGATTGCAAAAAGAGGAGGCCAACCACCATCACCATCTATAGGAATAACATCACCTGCAGTTGGAACAGCGTTGGCAGCGACTAAAGGACCAAGGCTGGGGTTCAGAGCCTCTCCATCAGCATTACCAGCTTGGGCGTGGTCGTTGGTTTCGATTTTGCGTTTGTGTTCCATTTTCTTTCAAGTAGTTGCTTTATGTTTTTGCCAAAAATAGTGTAGGTTGTGTTTTTTTCTCTTATGGATCCTGTAAAAAAACTAAAAAAAACTCATTAAAACCAACAAACAATAGTAAATGTTAGGTGTTCTTCGTATATCGCACTTACGTCTGATTGTGTGAGACTCTTTTTGTTGGAAATATTTGTGTAATTTAGTGAAGTAATATCTTTGTGAATATAAGTATAAGGCGTTACTGTTGAATTATTTTTCAATGTCTATGTGAACTAGAGCTGTGCGTGTGACAAAGAATGCCGAATCACGAAATCAATTGTCACGTCTAGAAACTTTAATTTACAACTATTGTATTATTAACAGTGCAAAGAACAATTCTAAAACTGAATGAGCAGCTAAGAAATCGCAGCATCTGTAATTATTTTGTTCTCCTTTCCCAGATAGATATTTTCAAGTATTTTGCGTAATTAACAATATTTTCAATAGTGTTCATATCAATAGATGCTTCTTTAATAAGGCCGATGGTAGTTTTTTCCACAACATCGTTCAGTTCTTCTTTTGTGTAGTTTAGTGATTTTCGCAAAGTCGTGAATTCTGCGTGATTTCTTAAATTGTCCTATCGAATTGGGCTGTGTGCTGGGTTGCTTGGTACGATCCTTCGTCAGCCTTTTTATTACTTTTTACGTCTCTATGCCCCAGGATTCATACTCTGGCAAATGAAGAACTAGGGAATTAAATACGGCCCCTACCTCACAGCTCAGTAAGTTGTTGAAGGTATATTACCATTTTGTAATTTCTTTTCATGTTTTGTGGTTCCTTTAGGGATTTGGTGTTTGATATTAATGCAATTTTAAAACAGATAAAAGGTTTATGAATTGTGTTGTATTTTTAAGACGGTTGGCTACCAGGTCGGAACTCTATATGAAAGTTTCGGCCTTACCACTGCTGTGTGCATTTACAAAGTCATTTACTTTTCTTCGAAGGCTCTCCTGGTCTCCGGTTGTGGTCTTCTAATAGTGATGATAACAGGCCCATTATCTCTCATAGATACGTAGCTAGTCGGATAAATTAATAATATTCATTACCTTGAGTCGAACACACTCTTTTATTTGGATAACTACTTTCCTCTACTTATCCAAGTGAAGGACATATGCGACAATATATACTAAACGCCTTTATTGAGTCATTTTTCAAACTAAGTGGCTGCGTTTGTCATTTAATTGAATTTCTCTGCCCGAAAGACTGGCCTATGTCTGTCCAGCCCCGAGCATGTAACGTTTTCCGAGGCAGACTATCGCTGACAGCAGCACGGTCACGTGAACTCTCTTCCTTACCCTCGGCCACACGCTGGCACACACATTCACAGAAACCTAAGACAGAATCAAATACATATAGTATTATAGTATGGTATGCACATATGACAGAGTGGTGAAGATTTTACTGTCAAAAGGAATTTAAATAATGACAAACGATGCAGGCGGCCATCAAAGATGAGCCCAAAACTGAAACCAAAAGCAACAAAATATGTAAAAACCGAAAACAGAGAGGGCAGGGAAAATGTAGCAGGCAAAGATAAAAAATGATTTTATTGCGGTTTCTTTGGGGCCTGCGGTGGCTGTTGAAAATTCTAATGTTGCCACATTTGCATGTGTGTGCGTGCCCGTGTGTGGGGCACGTCGCAGAATTCTAATGCTGGCCACGCATTGCACTTGGGACGCATTTTCAAGAACTTAATATGTACATAGAGAGAAAAAATTAACATTTTTGCAGCTGCAAGTACATCAGTCCCAGAGGAGGAGACAAGCAATTATTTTTGTCTGGCTTATAGTTTTTTATTTTTTTATTTTTAGAGTTTTCGGAATGAAGAAAAACTGAGCGAATAAAGCTAAGCCCATGTTTTAATTCATCGAGAATTTTATATTTTGTTTATAAATGAGTCTAACTAATGGTCTTTTTCAAATAAATGTGCTTTTTACAGAAACAAAATACAAATCTAGATTAACTAACCAAAACCCTTGGGTATTAGAAAGTTAGCTAAGAGTGGTTTCTGAAAGAGTGGTTTTGTATTTAAAAATGTCAAACTGCGTGTAATGGCCAAATCTGCAGGCTATAACAAACAAAAAAGGATAGTAATTTTTATATTTAAATGCCTTTTAATTATTTGATTTATTACACAAAATAAAAAATATTAATAAAATCATTAAATACCCTTAGACTGCGAAAAATGTATGTGCCCAAAAGAAGGACTTTATATTTCCCTTGCAAGGCTTGGTGCCTTCTATACCATTTTGAAGGAAAGACATGGGATAGGTAGGATATAAGTCGACATAAGTCTGGCTATGTCCTTCCATCTTTAGTCATAAATTTTGCCATAGAACGTATGAAGTTGAGTTTTAGGAAGAGGCTGGTTCATATCTACAAGTATATCTTTAAATAACTAAAATTTGGCCATCACTGGCACTACCAATCTTATTTGGAATTGCGAAATTCTGATTCTCTTTTAATTATGGGATTTAATGTTTAATTGAAACACAGAAGATTAAAAAAGTGTTTGAATGGCACACACTTTTCTCTCTGTGTGCATGTTGTATATTCCATGTGTTTATAATATTCAACTGCTGTAAGAGCTTTTGTTATTTTCATATTATTGCGATTTAGTTTTGTTTTGATTGAGAGGGGTGCGGGGCGCGGGGCGAGTTGCCGCATTTTTTTGATTTATGGCGTGCGTGCGGCATAAAAAATTCAACTAGCCAGCGGAAAATACCAGGCCCAACCCCACAACACAAATCCCTCCCCTTCTGTTCCTATCCCATCTGATTTTTTGCCTACTTTTTAATAGAAAAATAAAGCAAAATGAAATTTATGGCGGAAATGATAACGCACAAGGATATCATAACTATGTCTAAGCAGACAAAAAATCATGAGATTGTTTGCCGAGTTTCTATTTCTATTTGCAGCTTCCGCTTTTGTATGCGAGTATGTGCCTTTGGCCTTTTCGGTTTTTGTGTTTTTGTGTTTTTGTGCTGTTGCTATGCTTTGCGAAAGTTTTGTTTGCAGTAATTCCAAATATTTTTCACAGCCAGCGGAAACGGATGCAGTTATTGTTGAACAAACACGCACACGCCCACAAATACATGAAGAGAAAGAGGGAGACAGAGAGAGAGAGAGAGAGAGAGTGAGAGAGATATTAATGCTAACAACAAACATAACTTTATTAAAAAATAAATGAAATTTGTTTTATGCTGCTGGTATCAAAAGGATTTCGTATTTTAGTCCTTGTTCCAAGCCCGAGCCCGAGCAAAGAAGCCAACGGAGAATAACTGAGCAGTGGGCAAAAAACTATGCAAAGAATTTGTGCGCCGGGCTAAAAATAACAAAAGGCGAAGCACACACAAACACACAGGATTGTGCCACATGAGGATATTATGCCCATGATGATGATTGTTGTTGTTGTTGCTTTCGTAGCCCTTTACCATTTGAGTAGATAGTTTAAATTGTTCATGCGGCTGCCGGCATTGCTCACAGGCAACTTTTTGACATTTACAGGCCCTGAATGCTGACCCAAAACTGGCCAAGATATACAACATTAGGCCCACGCACTTACTCACACACCCATATATGTAAATACACACAAATACATACATCTACAGACACAGAATTGTCTGTGCCACACATGGTCGCCCGGTTGAGTGTGCGTAACGGAAACGGATACGGAAATGGCTGCTAGACATTACACACTGGATGCTGCACCAGAATGTTGGACATTGGACGAAGGACACTGAAGGCTCTAGGTTGGACGTTCCGTTGGCCGAAAGGCGTAAACGGAATTAATTGAATTGAATAATTACATACACAAACATACAAGAACAGCAGCAGCAGCAGTAGCAGTAGCAACAACAACAAAGCGTTCGTGTTGTAGTGCAACACTTGCCACGGACTTAGCCAGACCCATTACTAATGTGTACAGTAAATATTCCATATCATGAATTGCTAGCAGCCAAATGGGCTTTAGCGTCTCCCTTATAGATATGCAAGCAAAGTTTCTTCAATTTTCCTGAATGGAAAAATGTAAAAAAAAATAAAAAATGTATTTTCGTGTTCAACCAGACAGCTTAGATACTTATTTAGTTAAGAATGTGCCATAACTCAGCTGTTGACTTAATGTTATAAATAGTGCTATTTTTCACTAATAATACCGATACGTACAAATTTTACGAATATTCGTATTATAAATTAAATTCTAGTCAACTACTGCCTCTGTTTCTGAGATCAATTCATGGTTGAAATGTGAACTCTTTTCTCTAGGCGTACTCGTTTCCGATCACATGAACAATTTCACATTATTTATGTGTGTTTCAATATCTTGGACGAATTCTATGATATGAATATTTGATTGAAAAGATACCATTGATATATTTATTGGAGAGAATAAACGAAATTTGTGTATTTTATCTAAATAGTTTCTATCCGGGCCATAATGACGAACTCCTGAGTTAAGTAATCTGAGATTGGGATTAGGAATATTTTAATTAGATTATTTGATTATACAAAGTAAATCAATCTGCAAAATTATGGTATAAATAAGAAATAATTCGGCATTAAATTGATATTTACATACCAAATTGCATACATATATACTGTATAGTAGCATGGGATGGGTAGAGAAAATTGCAAAAATGAAGGAAGCTCGTGTTGCCTACGGTGTGGGCTCATCTGTTTCCGTAGTCTAGGAAACACACGGACGGACAAATGGAGGAACATGTCTAGATCGGCTTAGTCGCGGAATAGTGTGTTGTTTCCCAGCATCTATCTGTCTGTCTCCCATTGAATTCCTTACCTTACAATTTAGAAATGCTTTAGAATGCAGAAAGCATGTGATAACATAGCAATTTATTTTATCGCATTCTTCATAGCGGTCGCCCACTGTATGTCTACACATTTATATAGCTGTATGCATGTGTTTGTGGGCTTCATTTCCTCTTGCCGCGTACATTTGTAAACTTTGAGAAGGCCCTGTAACTCACACATTGCTCGGCAAGTTGCGGCTGCTGTTTTTGTTGTTGTTGCTGCTTCTACTGCTGCCTCTACTGCTGTGTTAAATGGCTAATTTGTTTTGTGCATGTTGTTGTTAGTTACAGCTGGCTGCTAGCCCCAACTCAGCCCCAACCCAAGCCCAAGCTCACATTACCCGTACTTATCCGAAAGGGTTACGACTGT